GCACGCGTGCCTGAGCCTCTGCATCTGCGTGAAACCATGCACCTGCTGAAAACTGGTCTGGTGCACATGGGCAAGCCAGTCACAGCCCTGGCTGTGCCACCAGCCCTGGCTACCATTGGAGGAAAGCTCAAATTTGGTAGCTCCTAAGCACACCTGACAGCAGAGCTGGGGTATGCGGTGGAAAATGCCGTTGTCTGGACAGAGGCTGGTGCGGTGGGGGGAGTGCACAAGAACAAGCCTGGGGCTGCACCCACTCCTGGCCCAGAAGCTGCTGCACCTGGGCTTTCTTCTCTCCGAGATTTGCTTTGTTTTTTGGGTGGGGGGAGGGCGAGTGGGGAGAGATGGATGAACAATGGGCTAAACACTGAAAATGCAGGTGTATGTGAGATCCTGTTAGTCTGAGACAGCTTTGTGTGAGCGGAAGCCTGGCTGCTAGAAGGAAGAGGGAGCACTGGGAGCAAAATGCACAAGCCAGAACATGCAGAGGCTCAGCTTCCTGCAACAACATTAATGCTCTGTATTAAGGCATAAACTAAAATGTGCCCTGTGGGACTGTGGTGAGAATTAACGTCGCTCTGGGAATCCAAGCTTCTTGATTCCTTGACTTTCTGTGTCTTAATTCTCAAGCTGGTTGTTTCATACACTGGGGGGGGTTGATTTACTGTTCTACTTGCTTGTGATTCATAAAAGCAAAACTGCTGGCAATCTGCAGAAGAGTCATCGGCACCTCTTGATGTCTGTTTCCAGAATATCTGACCGCTAAAGCAGGTACTGGGGCTGACTCTTTGGTGATGTCTGAGCTGCGAATAGCCTTTTGTAGCTGCCTCGCCTGGGCTCCAGGAATGCAGTGTGCAGCTCTGCCTGTCAGCCGCTTAAGATGCGGCTGCAGTCTGTCCTGCACTGCCTGTGGCCTTGTGCCTGGCGTTAGCTGTGTGCCCTGCTGTCAGTGCTAACCTGCATGGATGCACTGCTGGGGGCAGCAGGTACAGGACTGGTGGTGACAAGGGGGGACGTTGTTTTATCGAGTCTCTTTGGTGCTGGTCAGGAGCCAGCACATCCACCCAAGTAAATCCCATCCCGCTCCCACTCTGCACTTGAATAGGTTTTTAGTGTTCCACGTGAGAATCCTGACTGCCCTGGGTGGCCTGGCTTCTGCCCTGAGCATAAGATTTAATTATCCATAGCAGCAGCCTAACTCTCAGAGCCACCATTGTTATTAATGGCCATAAAAAGAACCATAAAAACCTGGCATGTTACATTTCTTATAATATATGGTAATGAAGAACAATTTGTTTTCCCCTTTTGGTTTTGACCTCCTCTGTGCCTTTTCTTGCAGGTCCATACATGCCCGTGCTCCCTTGCACACCGCCTAAGCCCTGGACTGCTTCCAGCGCGGGTCCTCTCTTCCTTCCTTGCCTTTACAACCAGCTCTTTTCACACTGTTCTTCACAACGTAGGTGTTGCATGTACAAGTGTGGTTTGCGCACTTGAGTACAGGATACGGACCGTGTGTAGGTTGCTTGGTTTGTCTCCTGTTCTTGGATGTTACTAGCTGTAGTATTCAGCTGGGATTTCAGATTCGATGGACCTTTCAAAGGCAGACCCAAACCGTCTGGATGCCACGCTATGCCAAGTCCTGCCACTCAATAAGCCCTGAATTCCCATAGTGTTGTCTCAGATGTCTTTCTGGAGGGGGACGAGCAACTAAGTGGCCCCACTGGAATAGCGGGCGCTGCAGCATGGCATTTGCTGGTGTCCACAAAGCTGTGGAGAATAATTCTAGTTTCTGCAGAGTTGAATGATGGTAAAGAAAAAGCACAGCTGATGCATATGAGCTTTTCTTTCCTTTCATATACACCAGCCACTACCTCTTGTGCTTTGAGAACAAAGTTTCAGACACTGAAACTGTCTGTGGGTTTGTGTTGTGTACCCCAAATCAGGTCCCAGAATGTACCCTGCACGCGTTGAAGGTCTAGGCTGACTTTTTTGGTGTATGAGTGGGGAGCTTTGCATACACAAACTTTGGAGGCATGATTTTCTGTGCCAGCTATGAGAATAGCTGGGAGGTGGTTAAGTCACCAGCCCTGGAAGTATTTAAAAGACGTGTAGATGAGGCGCTTAGGGACATGGTTTAGTGGGCATGGTGGTGTTGGGTTGACGGTTGGACTCGATGATCTTAGAGGTCTTTTCCAACCTTAATGATTCTATAATTCTATAATATCCCCTAGACTCCTTGCAAGAGCCTGCAGGCATTAGTCATATTTAGGCTTTGTGCTGCCTTCCTCATTCATTCTCTGTTTGCAGGTAGGGTGCAGCTGATCTTTGCCTGCTCTTTATAACAGGTGAGCTGCATTCCACTGTTTCGTGGCTGCCCTGTTCCTGCTGGAGGAGGCTGTGCTTTTACAGTAGTCAGTATGTATGTGTGCTTTGCTGCTTCTGTTGGGAAACAGCCACTTCTGCCATCGGTGTTGGCTCTCTGAGTGAGCGCACTTCACTGACTGCAGAGAGCCCCTCTCTCACCCTGCAGCAGGCTGCTGACTGGCTGCGGGGCAGGCTTGCGACTGCAGCGGCCATGAGCCCCAGCTTTGCCCAGCAGGACACGGGTTGGGAGGTTTAGTGCTAGTTCCACTTCTAGCTCCAGGAAGGCTGTCCTCACCAAGATCCTTCTAACTTACACTTTTCAGATGCTGAGATGGGCACAGAGAGTGTGTGACTGCCAGTGCATTTACATGAGAGGAGAAATCAGAGTGCATTTGAATTTGCAGGCCAAATTTTCGTGTTGCTTTATATCACCCTGCACTCGCTGTACCTCTGCAGATTATTCACCTTTATAGGGGCAAAGCTCTTCTTCGTCAGGCAGCTGTGCCTGCCTGCTCATGTCTGTTCCCGTGTTCTTTGCAATGTCCTTTCTCATCTCTGGCCAGCACGGCTGGAGACTCGCTGCTGCCTGCAATCCCTGCCCACAGCCTCAGGAGGAAACCTGAAAATACTTGACACCCAGAAGGGGGACACAACCTGGCGCCCTTGGCTCCAGCAGTCTTGTTCATCCCTTTGCAGGGATATTGACTGCTGCAGAACCATCACAGCAGGTAACATCATAGGCCTCATGATATTTGGTGCTTTCCTAAAAGGCCAGCTTGTCAGTTCGGGAGAGTGCATGGGAATCTTGGTTTTTACTGAAAGGAAGAGATTGTTCTTAAAATCTGTCATTCTGCTGTATGCAGGGAAAAGGCAGAAGAACTCAGAAGGCTAATTGAAATGCAGTCTGGTATTTATGATTACTTAAAACAGCTCCTGAGTTCTAGAGCCTGTCTCCTGATTTGGAGACTTAGCCGGTGAGGGCTTAGAGGTGTTTGTGCCAGGGAGAGCAGGACAAGAAATACTGTCTTGCTGGGATGAAGTTTATGGTTATTTGAGTACAGTCATTAGTTGTTTCATCTTTACCTGTCAGCCTTGCCCTGTTTGGAGACCGACCACAGCCCTAATCCCAGGGTGGTAAAGGTAGACTGGGAGAGAAGTTGTTGCTGGGAACATGCTGCATGCTGATATGGGCTGATGAACTGTTGGATTTGTGTGATGCGGTGGTGGGAGGCAGAACGTGTTTCTCTGCTGCTCTTGCCAGTTTGTTAAAAATGCTCCTTGGTGCCTGGAAACACAGATATCAGTATGAGCATGTTTGTGTGCGCTCATGGGTTTATGCAGGTCTGTGTCCCATCCCAGAAGCTTATTCACCAGAGCTGTGCACAGGGACAAGGGACTCTGAGCATGGGTGACGAGAGTCTGCGGAGAAGCCACACTTATTTAAGGTGCTTTTATTAGCAAGACTGAATGTTAACAGTCCTTTTCAGAGACTGGTGCAGGAACTTCGGTTGGTTTGGGACCAAATTGTATGTTTGGCCGTCTTGAGGAAATTAGGGTATATCTACTACTGTCCAGTGGGAATTAATATTAAATGACGAGGGATTTAGCTGCTAAAAGAAGAGAC